TTTGACTCCTATTACCGCCAACAACTTAATGTGTATACATATTTACAAGCTGTCAAAATTTTGCGTAGTCCCACGAGCCAAGTAAAAACTATGGCATTCGTATTCACAAGGAGAAATCTCAAAATTTTTGTTTGGTATTTCCAAATTTTCTCTTTTTTATCAGTTGGCAAAAGCCCTCAGTGGCAGCGCTCCGAGCGTTGAGATAGTAATTTCATGTCAATTAGTACAAAATATCCATGTTGAAAAAACTTTTTTATTATGGCGAGAAAATTTTACATTGCTGTGCCAATTCGTAACTTTTTACTGCTGGAAATTTTTGACAGTTGCTCTGGTGCAAAAGAAGTTGAGCAATTAAAATCAAAAATTATACAAAAAAGACTTGTCTTTACTGACTTTTATTCTTCTGGAACTAAAAGCCATGAATTTATTAGACACCTTAGTAATAAAATTAGAACAAAAAAATTCTTCAAAACCGTCAGGCCGGGTTGAAAATTGTCATCCACCTCATAGTTAACAAAAATTTACAATCCGTAGTACTTTTCTATCAATTCGCAAATGCCGTTTCCACAAAAAAGGTTATCAAATGCGTTTTATTTAAATCGTTTAGAAAATGAGTCATTTATGTATACCATTTTATATGGAATTATTCAATAAATTTCGTTTTACACTATACTTTTTGAAACATTTGGAGTTAATTATTTTTTGTTTCTTAAAAGCAACCCTGCGTGCTTGGAAGGCGTGTGTACCAATAATTTCATCCCTAGCATATTCATCCCCGAGGAAGGCAGTCGACAAATTTACCGAAGGTTGTTTCCTGGTTATATTGTGACGTCAAGTCTTGCTTTCAAGTCTGCTCGTTCGTTGGCGAAGGAGGTGTGAAGAGAGGGGAAGAGTACAGATACCTCCGTAGCGTGTCCGTACCGTCAATTCGTTTCAAGTTTTCTTGTCTCTTGATCTTTTCGTTGCTTCCCATTTAAAGAACCAAGAAAGTTAAACAAATCTAAGGCAGTCTGCACACGGTTCGTAAAGCTTTAGCCACGTATAAAATTTTTTATGCAGCAACGATTCCTTTACGCCTCAAGATCTGCACACGAAGCAACTCCAAAGCGTCAAAGTATCAGGCAAAAAATGTTAAGTGATGCCAAATTATTATTTCTTTAATTAATTTTCAGTTATTTTTCTATTAATTGCACGAATTTTATTGTTTTATCGTTTTTTTTTTATGAAATGCATGCACGCACACAGAAAATTGTAAACAAGATTCTTCTTTCGCTTTTTTAAGCGTACGTACGCCTAGCTACCAACACTGCTGTACGCCAAGCGATTTGCAGCTAGCTTGCTTTGACGAATTCGTGAAGCTGACGACTCGTATACAGCCCTCCATTTAAATACACGTGTGCGGCATCAAAGCGTAAACTTGCGTATGTAGCATCTAATACGCGTCTAAAGCTATGCGACCCGTGTGCAGACTGCCTAAATAGAAAATGTTCCATTTCCACTAGAGTTGTAGCAAACCGTATGTATTCGTTACTGAGTAACGGGTACAACCCCTGACTCGGAAGTACCGAATCGTTACTCACATAATAATCTCGTTATACTATGTTCAAACAGGCCAATTAGCTGAGGCAATGGGTTGGTTTTCCAAAAAGGCGTTGGTTAAAGGGACGGTGGGCGCATGACGCCACCAAACAACATTCTCTCAATTTCGGTACTTAAAACATTTAAATCTTTAAAAAACTTGCTGAATAATTTCCTAAAACGTAATCATAAATAATCCAATAGGGAACAGATTTTTATTTTGATTTAATATCGAAATTTCATCGATGTTATCACCAGCACGCTTTCTTTCAAATGAAAATATGGCTGTCAAACTATCAAATTGCCTGCAAAAGATGTCAAGCAATAAGCGCTGACATATATTGCAGCCCGTTACGGCCCGTCTCCACAGGCGAAAGTTTTTGCCTACCAACTGTCATTTTTATTGCCTGATAAAAATTTTATCAGAGGCAATATTTGTGCGTGGGCATATTCTATCTTGATAAAAGCATTTGAAAGATGGCGTCAAACAAATATGTAGCGCTTAAAAATTTAAAAAGACTGCAAAAAATTGATGCAGAAAGGCGAAAAAGGAAAAAAAACCACAACTCTGGGTGAATCCTTTCTTGGAACAAAGAGGACTCCACGATTTGGAAACACATCTCTTAAAGGACATGGGAAGAAGGGCAAGATTTTACCAACTTTTGTAGGATGTCCATTGTCCAGTTTGAGGAGATTCTTTCAAAGGTATCGTTATTTAATTAACTCTTTATAAAGATTTACGTATGTGAATAAAATATATACATATGTACATATGCATACCAGGGTATGGTTTAGTTATTTGTACAAATATTTTGGGTTGCTGTGCCCAAACGCGTGACCCGCATTAAATAAATTTTACGTGCACTTGTAGACAAGAGTCTACGATTTATTAAAAAAAAATACTATATCTGTGCACTAATTTATTAATAATTTTGGTTAGAAATATGGTATTTCGATGTACAATATCGTTGTACAAATAACTAAACATTTCCCGTATACACTCTTTAGGTGGAATCGAGAATACAAAAACAAGATACAAATATGAGGTATGCTATTGCATCAAGAGTCCGCCTTGCTGTAACTTTGCGCTACTTAGCAACTGGGGACTCGTTTCGGTCGCTGGAATTCCTCACCTACATATCGCGTAAAACGATAAGTAAATTTTTGCCGGAAGTATTGGAAGCGTTAATAGCTGCTCTTCAGGACGAATACTTGAAAGTCAGTTAATAAATTTCATTTTATTTGCATACGTGCAAATTATAAATAATTATCTCCTATAGACACCTACGGCAGAAAATGAATGGTTGGATGTGGCTAATGATTTCGAGCAACTTTGGCAATTTCCGCACACTTTGGATGCAATAGAAGGAAAACATATCCGTATAAAAGCGCCGCCTAATTCTGACTCAGATTTTTTTTAATTATAAAGGCTTTTTCAGCATTATTTTTCTTGCAGTTGTAGATGCTCATAGTCGATTCATTTACGTCGATATTGGAGCAAATGGAAGAGCATCTGATGTTATGGCATTCAAAAATAGTTCTTTACATGATAAGTTGGCAAGAGGTCAATTAAGTATTCCCGCTGATACACCCTTAAAAGGACAGGTTTGCAAAACTCCATTTTATTTTATTGGCGACGATATTTTTGGTTTGAGCCGCCACTTAATGAAAGCTTACAACCGAAGTTCGAACCTGAATACTTCGCAAGAGGCATATAATTACAGACTAAGTAGAGCCCGAATGTCGGTGGAGATGGCTTTTGGTAAGCTCGCTGCACGTTTTCGCCTTTTTCACCGACCCATTGAGGTTTCAGTGGAAACATGTGATAGTGTTGTAAAAGTTTGTTATATTTTGCATAATTATTTATCACGCAAACTAAATCAGCCCCCAAATACTCACTATGACAACTGTCGTCAACCTCTTCCGCCTACCATTAATACAAAAACGCAAGCAAAGTTAGAGACAATATATGTAAATATTGTATAACAGATGGAGATGTTCCGTATCAATGGATCAAAATAAAAAAACAAGTTGCAAAATAAAAAAAAAACAAGTTGCAAAATAACTTCGTTTTTTATTAATTCATTTCAATTTGATTTTTAGCGACACTTCAATGTTTTCATTTAATTAAGATTTTAAAATTACATATACATATTACATACATATATGTTTGCACATAGACACATTAGGTTGGATATAGTACTACGTACTTCTAATATATTTTATTGCTTATAATTAATAAACTTTTAAAGGCAAGCTTCTCATATATAATACACTATAGTGCGAAAGTGAGTACGTGGTGGTTTTTGTAAAATATTTGTAAGGTTTTTAAAGTTGTTGTTGTTTTTTTTAATAAAAAATGGTTCGTGCTTAAGAGCTCTTTCCAGCTCTCAAGAAAAACGAAAACGTCATTTTATATGACGCACAAGAAATGGAAAAGAAATTTTCTTATATCAAAATTTCTTAAATCAGTTTGCAGCTCTAAAAAAAAAATGCTCGTATATTTATTTCTTTAAGAGAATTTATAGCAAAAGCAAAGTGTTTTTCAAGCAACAGAAATAATTAAAAGTATTTCTTGTGATTTTGCTTGAGAGCTGGATTCTAAGCGTTAACCAAAAACTTATAAATTAAAATTTCAATTGTATACACACTTTTTAATCTGAATTTTTGGGCATGCAGTTTTATTCTAGTATAATAAAGCGCAGGATTTAAGCGGATAAAAAATCAAGTTGATTTGCAATATTTTTTGCATTTGCGGCATTTGCGAGTTCTTTCATACAATATAAAGCTGCATACCCAAAAATTTTCTTATACTTATTAATACAAACCAGGGTTGTTGCGAATATTCGCATTCGCATTCGCAACCGCGGAGCTTCCGCATTAATTTTAACATTCGCATTCGCTTTCGCATTCGCAATAATCAATGCGGATCTTTTGCGAATGCGAATATTGAAGGGACCGAAAATAAGAGTTATTTTTTTTACGAGTTAAACTTGGCCAAATATTTTTTATTCCCAATTAAAGGTGGATAATAAACAAACCGCTTATTCAAATTAAACAAGTTTGGTACCAAATGAAGGAAATGTCTAAACGAGCAAAGCAACCCATTGAAAAATAGTTCAATAAAAAATGTTAATTAATTACCGTAGCGACACCTGGGTAAAAGATTGTCGTATGTTGATTTCGGCAGTTTGTGGGAAATCGCGATTGAAGTTTGGAATGCAATTCCTCAAAAACGCGAGGATAGATTTTCTCCAAAGTCTCTGAAAATGTTACTAGTTCACAAAATTCTTAAATTGTTTAATTTTTAATGTTTATTGTTAATTAGTTTTGAGTTTATGAAGGATTTTATTTAGTAAAATTTTGTCGTAAGCGTCATTTGTCCACAACATGGCAGCCACATTGTATGAAATACGACAAAATGTGATCAAAATTTCTACTGAATTAACGACACTTTATACTCAATATCTCGGAAAGTAAAGGAGATATCCAAAAATGAAGAACGCCATTTTTAAGATATTGATTAGTTTAAAATGACTGCATCACCAACTAAATGTTTACAAATTATCGAAAAAATTGCAGTCAATATCGCGGAAACTAAAGGAGATATCTAAAAACAGATAACACCAATCGAAATACCTTATTTCAAAATATATAACTTCATTTATAACTAAAAATCGTCAAATTGCGCTTACGCGAATGTTTTACCCAGGCGACGATAGAACAACCCTTGGGTCTGTTATATGAATTTCTTTAGTATTAAATGATAAAAAAATACATATAGAGGTGGTAACCTTCTTTCTTTCTGCTCAAAAACTATTTCAGTCACAGAAGAAAGGATTAAAAATGAATTACGAAAACTAAAATCGAAAAACGCTGTTGACGTAACAGGTTCTCCAAATTCTGAAACAAACAAAAGAATGAGAATGAAGAATTCTTTGGAAAACAACGGTGTTTAAACAACGATCTTGCCTTTATACAAGATTGTGGAGATGGAAGTCAGGAGGATACATTCATACATTTGCAGCCCGATGCAATTCTCAATAAAGAATTATTGCACCGCAATTAAAAAAAAATAAATATTTTAAATTCAAATCACGGATTTTATGGAAATTGCCTTTTATTCTGCTAACGAGATAGAGCATATTCGATTAAGAATGTCCACGCTTTAGCTTTCCCTGATTCCATATATACGCATTTGATGTTGCCTTTTTTTGCCTTTTTTAAGATATTTGCCTTTTTTTGCCTTTTTTAAGATATTTGCGTTTTTTTGCCTTTTCTACCTTTAAAAAAATGATTATAGCATTTACAATTTTTTTAAGATTAAAAAATATACACATTGCCCATGCGGCTTATAGAAGCGCAGAGACCTCTTGCCAAATTGGTGTTGGAAAAATTCAAAGTCGTTTTCTCAGCTAACGAAGGCTTGGAGACAATAAGGGGTGTGGATAAAATTGTAAAGGGCGAGGAAAACGCCCTTATTCCTGATAATATGAACGTTTCAAACGGTCCATGTTTAAATTGGGCGCCGCTTGTATCAACTTACGTCGAGCTGCCAGAAAACTTCAAAATGCATCTTGTGGTTCAGTGTTACTACAACTATAGAGATTAAAGTTTTATGAGTTAGAAACTCGAAAGGATAAAATAGTCAAAGATTCCAAGTACAAATTTTTCATATAATGAAACTAGTTCATAGTTTTTCTCTTTTTACTTGTAATATAAACATTTCTAAAATAAATGTACTTTTTGATTGTTCTTCGTATTTTCTGTCTTTTTTAGTGCCTTTTTCTGCCTTTTTCGCTATTTTGTTTTGCCTTTTTTGCAACACCTAGTGCCTTTTCCTGCCTTTTTCACTATTTTATTTTGCCTTTTCCAGCCTATTTCGTTATTTTATTTTGCCTTTTTTATAGGTTTTTAGGTCCTAAAAATCCGTTCCCTGGTTATTACCAATTTTGGGTAAATTTAGCTTCCTTAAATTTCGAAATATCAAAGTTTCAAACATTTCTGAAATTTACCGTTATATAAAAGTGGGCGTAATTTTAGTCAGATTTCAAAACTTTCAACGTTTTGCCTTTATGTGGCAACCACAATAATCATACCGAGTTTGGTACACATTGATCGAGCGGTTACCGAGATACACATATGGGTTTTTCCATACAGCCGTACACGACATTCGTACGCTTATAGATTAACGTAAATCTATCAAAAATAGAAGTTACTGAAAAAAAAGATTACGGTTATGTTGCAACCAAAGAGAGAGAAAAAAATAGGCAGCCACGAAACTTTGGTGTGGAAAATATCCGTTCAAAACAAGGTGATAACGTACGCGACAAAAAAAGAAGTTTTTTTAAGGCACATATGCATATATGCGAAAGTCTGCGAATCATGAGAGTTTTTCTTTTCTTTAAAAATTCCTAAACTAATAAACTAAGCTAAATAATGTACCTTTACAATCCTCCCATTTTTTAATAGAAATTATCTCTGGTTAGTTTTTATTAAAAAAAATTATAATAACGTACGCGACATAACGTACGCGACAGATTTTTCCCCCATACAATATTTTTACTAGTAAAATAAATTAAATTTTTTCAGTTCTTCTCTCCACCATTTCGCGTTTTCAAAACCTTTTTCCGCCATCTGAATACGAAATTTAAAGTTAAAAAGCCGTTTGAATTCATTTGCTTGCATTTTCGGTTTACATTTTCATGGAAACACGCATATATGCGAAAGTCTGTGAATCAAGGGAGTTTTTCTTTTCTTTAAAAATTCCTAAACTAAGCTAAATAATGTACCCTTACAATCCTTTCATATTCTAAGATAAATTATCTCTGGCTAGTTTTATATTAAAAAAAAACAATAACGTACGCGACATAACGCGTTTTTTCCTGAAGTAATAAGGCGTCTTCTTTTGCCGCATCTGCCTTCCCTTTTTCGATAGGCCCGCTGTCTTTCAGCCTTCTTTTTTTGATTCTCTTTTAGCTTTGCTTCAATTTCTTTTAACTCTTCTCGCCCCCGTTTAATTGTTTTACAACTATTCTAAATAATTTAAATGGAAAATTTGCAATTCACATTGGTTTTGATGTATTTGATTGAAATTTTCGTACTTACAATAACGTATGCGGCAAACTTTAAAGGGTAATAAATTTTCTTTACTTCGGTTGGAAAGAAAATTTTACTGTATATCTTTAACTGGAAGAATTCTCGCTTAAGAATTGTAATCTGCATTACCTGCGACTGCCAATATACAAATGACATAGACAAACAATGTTTTTGCATAACGTACGCGACATTAGAATACTATCAGAAGCAAATCAAAAAATTACCGTTATTCGAGCTCTAACTTTTCCTTTTTCTCATTTTTATAGTTAGTTGTTATTGCAAATTTGATTTTAAGATGTAATTGTAATGTTTCAAATCTCTTAATTTAGTTAATAGGAAAGAGAAAATAGTTCATTTCATTAGAAAAAATTGATGTAAACGCTGAACTCGGCGAAGACTCGAAAATAACACATCAATGGCGTACTTATTGATTGCGGTTTATTTCTATTAAAGAGTTAGCATTACAATTTTACACAGACAAATTACGATTTAATTTACTTACCGCG